TTAGAAGCTGCTGCAAGCCAGACAGAGCTCCATCTCATTTCGTAGCTGGAGGACGTCCAGCATCGTCTAGCCCTTTCCTCCCCCAGCCTGACTGTCCCTGGCCCCGCCCATTTCATTTATTGGATTCCAGTTCTTTCAATCATGGAGGTTCAGCATCACATGTGGGCGTTACCTAGGAGGGGTCTGCGTGCAAACACAACCTGCCTAGGAACGTCTACTCCTCCAGACTGACACCCACCCCATCAAGCCATTTTGGATATTTGCATAACTCCTCCCAAAAGTCAGCTGAGGCAGGGAGGGGTACTGAGGCAGGGAGGAGTACTGAGGCAGGGAGGAGTACTGAGGCAGGGAGGAGTACTGGGGCAGGGAGGGGTACTGAGGCAGGGAGGGGTACTGAGGAAGGGTGGGGTACTGAGGAAGGGTGGGGTACTGAGGCAGGGAGGGGTACTGAGGCAGGGAGGAGTAATGAGGTAGGGAGGAGTACTGAGGCAGGGAGCAGTACGGAGGCAGGGAGGGGTACTGAGGCAGGGAGGAGTAATGAGGTAGGGAGGAGTACTGAGGCAGGGAGGGGTACTGAGGCAGAGAGGAGTACTGAGGAAGGGCAGAGTACTGAGGAAGGTAGGAGTACTGAGGCAGGGTGCGGTACTGAGGCAGGGTGCGGTACTGAGGCAGGGAGGAGTACTGAGGCAGGGAGGAGTACTGAGGCAGGGAGGGGTACTGAGGCAGAGAGGAGTACTGAGGAAGGGCAGAGTACTGAGGAAGGTAGGAGTACTGAGGCAGGTGCAGTACTGAGGCAGGGTGCAGTACTGAGGCAGGGAGGAGTACTGAGGCAGGGAGGAGTACTGAGGAAGGGAGGAGTACTGAGGAAGGGCAGAGTACTGAGGCAGGGAGGAGTACTGAGGTAGGGAAGGGTACTGAGGCAGGGAGCAGTACTGAGGCAGGGAGGAGTACTGAGGAAGGGAGGAGTACTGAGGAAGGGCAGAGTACTGAGGCAGGGAGGAGTACTGAGGTAGGGAAGGGTACTGAGGCAGGGAGCAGTACGGAGGCAGGGAGGAGTACTGAGGCAGGGAGGAGTACTGAGGAAGGGCAGAGTACTGAGGCAGGGAGGAGTACTGAGGCAGGGAGGAGTACTGAGGAAGGGTGCTGGGATGTTTTCAGGAAGCACAGCACCCTGCCAGCTCCTCCCACCAGCCATGACCTGCCTGCATGGCATAGAGACCCAGTGATGACATCACTTGGAGCAAAATAAAGTATGTCATGAAAAAATAAAGATTAGGAATGAAAAACAGCACAGACTGTGATGTCATCGCACCCCCCGAATTGCCGGGATTTGCCAAACATGACGGAGAATTAAAGAGTCCCACACTCTCGTGGATCTGACCGGACCAATAGCTCAAGTGCAGAAACCCCACGTATGTCTCTTTAAAGAGGAACTTCAGCCAAAACTACTTCCTTGCTATGATCCTGTTCCAGAACCTCTTCTAAATTTTGCATTTCCTCTCGTTTGCTTTGGGGTGTAATAGTGGAAATCCAACAAAAAATTTTTTTTAGAGATGTTCACATTCCATAACATTTTTCTGGCGTTCCACTTATTGGTTTGGGGTAGGAAGGGTGACTAGGTGAAGTGTCCCTCTAAGAGGTCCGTCGGTGTTCCTGTGCAAGTCCACCATTAGGATGCCAATGGGTTGAAGTCCCCTTCCCCCGAGGCCGGTGAGACTGAAGGTTCCAGCTCCACTCATCGTGAGGGAGTATCCATTCCAACACTAGGATTCCCATTTACTTGACATTAAGAAGAAAGTGCCGCAAGACAAATGAGACTCCTCTGCTTGGCTCTGTGAATGCCGGTTGCGGCAAAGCCAGAAATAACTTACGGTGCGACTCGGGCGCCGTATCATAACCTACAAAACTAGTGACTAACGCTCAGCACACTTCGGGGAGGATGAAGGCAGACATTAGATTTTTAGTACGTCTCAATCTAAAGGCTTCTGAAGACAACCGCTGGAGGGGAAAGTTCAGCCGCGCAGCTCGCCGCAGTGCTGTCTGCTGACACATGTGCTGCTCGCAGAGAGTGAACTGCGTGGGAGGGAGACTCGGAGGCAGGAAAATTAATCAAACTGAGAGCCGAACACAAGAAAAAAAGGATTGCAGAACAGCTCCATATATCGCCCATGTCACTGTAATAATGTCGCCTCCAATACCTGACATCTTAATCCTGAAATATATATATATATACATACAGACATGACCAAATATCTTGCCCTCCCCCACTGCATTTCTGTCAGATAACGCACCACTTCGGCCAGAAAATTGTTGCAATTGTTTTGGCATTCTCATGTCTATTGCATTTGTTTGTATTGGTACAACACAAGAAAAGTAGAAAAGAAAAAGCCAAATCTGACGCATTCCACGCAAAACCCCAAAAATGGACAAAATTATTGGCACCCTCAATGTAATATTTGGTGGCACACCCCTTGGAAAAAATAACAAATCAATGGCTTCCTGGAACTATCAATGAGTTTCCTCCACCTCTCTACTGGAATTTTGGATCGCTCTTCTTCCTCCAACTGCTCCGGGTCCCTCAGATTGGAAGGTTCCTTTTCCCCAACTGATGTTCTGAGATCTCTCCACAGGAGCTCTATGGGATGGAGATCTGGACTCATTGCTGGCCAGTTCAGTCCTCTCCAGCGCTTTGTCTGGAACCATTTTTGGGGGCTTTGTGACGTGTGCTTTGGGTCATTGTCCTGCTGGAAGACCCATGACCTCTGACAGAGACCCAACTTTCCGACACCGGGCCCTACATTGCACCCCAGAATTCTTTGGTAGTCTTCAGATTTCATAATGCCATCCACACGGCCAAGACATCCAGTGCCTGAAGCAGCAATGCAACCCCAAAACATCAGTGACCCCCCACCATGTGTGACTGGAGGGACTGTGACCCCCCCACCATGTGTGACTGGAGGGACTGGATTCTTTACTTTAAAGGTCTCATTGCTTTTTCTGAAAACAGTAGAATGATGGGCTTTACCACAAAGGTGCCATTTTCTTTCTCACAAAAGGATTTTGGCTTCCTCAGGTAAGTTTTGGCAAACTCCACTGTATGTAGGAACGTAGCCCCCCTGCCTTGGTACCACTGTATGTAGGTATGTAGCCCCCCTGCCTTGGTCCCACTGTAATTAGGAACGTAGCCCCTTGCTGTGGTCACACTGTATGTAGGAACCTAGCCCCCTGCCTTGGTCCCCCTGTATGTAGGAACGTATCCCCCTGCCTTGGTGCCCCTGTATGTAGGAACGTAGCCCCCCTGCCTTGGTACCACTGTATGTAGGAATGTAGCCCCCCTGCCTTGGTCCCACTGTAATTAGGAACGTAGCCCCTTGCTGTGGTCACACTGTATGTAGGAATGTAGCCCCCCGGCCTTGGTCACACTGTATGTAGGAACGTAGCCCCCCACCTTGGTCACACTGTATGTAGGAACGTAGCCCCCCACCTTGGTCACACTGTATGTAGGAACGTAGGACCCCGCCTTGGTCACACTGCATGTAGGAACCTAGCCCCCGCCTTGGTCACACTGTATGTAGGAACATAGCCCCCCATCTTGGTCACACTGTATGTAGGAACCTAGCCCCCTGCCTTGGTCCCCCTGTATGTAAGAACCTAGCTCCCTGCCTTGGTCCCCCTGTATGTAGGAACGTAGCCCCCTGCCTTGGTCCCCCTGTATGTAGGAACGTAGCCCCCTGCCTTGGTCCCCCTGTATGTAGGAACGTATCCCCCTGCCTTGGTCCCCCTGTATGTAGGAACGTAGCCCCCTGCCTTGGTCCCCCTGTATGTAGGAACGTAGCCCCCTGCCTTGGTCCCCCTGTATGTAGGAACGTAGCCCCCTGCCTTGGTCCCCCTGTATGTAGGAACGTAGCCCCCTGCCTTGGTCCCCCTGTATGTAGGAACGTAGCCCCCCGCCTTAGTCACACTGTATGTAGGAACGTAGCCCCCCGCCTTGGTCACACTGTATGTAAGAACCTAGCCCCCTGCCTTGGTCACACTGTATGTAGGAATGTAGGCACCCACCTTGGTCCCCCTGTATGTAGGAACGTAGCCCCCCATCTTGGTCACACTGTATGCAGGAACATAGCCACTCTCTCTTGCTCACTCTCCTGAGATGGACTACGGACGATGGGATGTGTAGTTTGCATACAGCAGTGTACATGACCGTAACTAATGTGCACTGCTAGTTCTGAACAAAAGCAAGTGAGCGGAAAAGGAGAGGCTCGGGAGCTTAGGATGCAGAAAAACACAGCAATTAATCTCTTGACAAACAGATTACAGGGCAGTTACGTAGTGGACGCGTTCGGCTTCTTTGTAGAGAATAAGGATGTCATTCAGCGTCACTATAATATCTCCTATCCTGCTATGCCATAGAGGGTTATACTGCGCGGCAGAGCTGTGCAAATCTCAAGACTGGATAGAGAGAAATACAAATCCTTCAGCAGGCAAAGCAGCTCATGTGTATGTAGTTCATCCGCGTGTTTAGTGGTTTGTCTGAAGTTCAGCTCTAAATATCAGTCCAATACCGGCTTGTAGTATAATCTCCCCACAATTCCCAGCACAGCAGACGTCAGACTAAAGACCGCCATACACGGATCAATCTTCTCTTCTCCAGCCGTGTGAGAGCAGCCATCCAGATCTATACTGTGCTGCCACCAAGTAGGACGTGTGATGGAGGGCTGCAGCCCTCAACTAGGCTATGAAATCTGTGGACTAATCTTCTCTGTGCCGAGAGATCCTCACTCCACGTTCTGTTATAGAACTCGCGCTTCAAGGCCCAAGACACGCCGCCGTCACTGACAGCCGATAGTCTACACCAACCTTTCTCTGCAGGATTCCTCCAGAGCTTCCCAGAGCCCCGAGCAATTTCCACCTCTCAGAGAAGGAAACAGACATCAGTGATCTTTTTAGATATCGGTAGAAAGAGCATTCTTCCCACTGACCCCCAATGTAAGGGACATTCTTCCCACTGACCCCCAATGTAAGGGACATTCTTCCCACTGACCCCCAATGTAAGGGACATTCTTCCCACTGACCCCCAATGTAAGGGACATTCTTCCCACTGACCACCAATGTAAGGGACATTCTTCCCACTGATCACCAATGTAAGGGACATTCTTCCCACTGACCCCCAATGTAAGGGACATTCTTCCCACTGACCCCCAATGTAAGGGACATTCTTCCCACTGACCTCCAATGTAAGGGACATTCTTCCCACTGATCACCAATGTAAGGGACATTCTTCCCACTGACCCCCAATGTAAGGGACATTCTTCCCGCTGACCCCCAATGTAAGGGACATTCTTCCCGCCGACCACCCATGTAAGGGACATTCTTCCCGCCGACCACCCATGTAAGGGACATTCTTCCCGCCGACCACCCATGTAAGGGACATTCTTCCCGCCGACCTCCAATGTAAGGGACATTCTTCCCACCGATCACCAATGTAAGGGACATTCTTCCCACCGATCACCAATGTAAGGGACATTCTTCCCATTGATCACCAATGTAAGGGACATTCTTCCCACTGACCACCAATGTAAGGGACATTCTTCCCACTGATCACCAATGTAAGGAACATTCTTCCCACTGATCACCAGTGTAAGGGACATTCTTCCCACTGACCCCCAATGTAAGGGACATTCTTCCCACTGACCACCAATGTAAGGGACATTCTTCCCACTGATCACCAGTGTAAGGGACATTCTTCCCACTGATCACCAGTGTAAGGGACATTCTTCCCACTGACCCCCAATGTAAGGGACATTCTTCCCACTGACCACCAATGTAAGGGACATTCTTCCCACTGATCACCAATGTAAGGGACATTCTTCCCACTGACCCCCAATGTAAGGGGCATTCTTCTCACTGACCCCCAATGTAAGGGACATTCTTCCCACTGACCACCAATGTAAGGGACATTCTTCCCACTGATCACCAATGTAAGGAACACTAGCTGCTAGGGAGCAAAGGGGGGCAGATGACACTACTGGGGGGGAGGTGATGTGCAGGGGACACTGCTATGGGCATCACCTCTCACAGTAGTGTCCTCTGCCCCCTCCTTCTACAACAGCAGTGCCCCCTTCCCTCCCCTCCCATGGACAGGTATTTTAAAAATCTGAATTTTCAGCAAGTGGCTGGGGATTGGGATTTCTAAAACTATCAATTAAAGACTTTTATATGAAATAATCAAAAATACTTTTTAAGATTCATAATAAAAAATAAAACACGAAGAGGGAATTTAGTAAAACATTGTATCAAACAAAAGTCGTGTTCTGTAACACAATCTCGGTTATATATTGTCAGGATAAATTCTGCTGCGGATTTCCATGTGGACATCGGGGCCTCCATGACCTCCGGACACAAAGTGGTCAACCAAGTCCCATTTTATTATAGGAAGATGGTGATTCCCTTTAATTCCCATGACGTTCCTCATTTTCTTCAAACAGAATTCAGGAGAAAAAACGTTTCATCTGATCGGTCAGTGAACTGGTTAAATCGTTGTGAACAGTTCAGAGAACCCTTCCGATCGCCCTGTCGCCTCAATACGTCAACGAACGCAGCTATCAATATTATGGAGAGGTCTTTAAGCAGATTACATACCGGCTTCCCGAATAATGAAGGGCCGAGCATTTTGAATACTTTGCTGATATAATTAGCACAGCCTTCAAACTCAATTAAGATCATTTTAGTAGATGCTGCAGCACTGATGATCTGTTCTACATTGCCGCGCTCAGATCCCGCCGCGGTGGGGGTGCGATGAGGTTCACTCGGGCAAACATCTCATCAAATGAATCTACAAACCAGAGGAGCATTAGAATAGGGCCTCGTTATCTGTCTATAGTATCTGTCTATGTGGCCCTTGGCTTGGGGCATTATTCCTTCTGCTGATACAAAGGAAAGGGCATCATTTCTCGTACTGACACCATCGTCTGAGACTCCTGAAATCAAATGTCCATTTGTTTAAAACTTTTGTGGACCCCTACAGAATGTTTACAGTATGTGACCCTTTGCTTACCTTTAGCCATCTACTGTGGTAGAATTCCTCCCATTGGAACCAACGATGGGGCACTATCCCTCCCACTGACACCAATGATGGGGCACTATTCCTCCCACTGACACCAATGATGTGGCACTATCCCTCCCACTGACACCAATGATGGGGCACTATCCCTCCCACTGACACCAATGATGTGGCACCATTCCTCCCATTGGCACCAACCATGGGGCATTATCCCTCCCACTGACACCTATGATGGGCAACATTCCTCCCATTGGCACCAATGATGGGGCACTATCCCTCCCACTGACACCTATGATGGGCACCATTCCTCCCACTAATATCAGAAATGGGGCAATATTCCTACCAATGAAGCGACACTATTCCTCCCGTAGACAGACAATACGGCATGAATCCTCCTCCCACTAACCGCAGGCACTAGGCCATTTTTTTGCTTCTACTGACTACCAACTCTGGGCATCCTGGTATACAGTGAAGGAAATAAGTATTTGCTCCCCGGCTGATGTTGAATGTTCGCCCCTCACACAGAAATGATCGGTCTAACAATGGAATGTTCGCCCCTCACACAGAAATGATCGGTCTAACAATGGAATGTTCGGTGTAACACTGAGAGACAGAATACAACAACAAATTCAGCAGAAATGCGTCTAACAAATGATGACTGATCTGCATGTTCATGAGGGAAAGAAGGATTTGATCCCCTATCATTCAGCAGGATTTCTGGCTCCCAGGTTTCTTTCATACAGGTAACAAGCTGAGATTAGAAGCAGTCTCTTAAAGGGAGTGCTGCTAATCTCATTGTGTTACCTGTATAAAAGACACCTGTCCACAGGAGCAATCAAACCATCAGATTCCAAACTCTCCACCATGGCAAAGACCAAAGAGCTGTCCAAGGATGTCAGGGACAAGATGGTAGACCTACACAAGGCTGGACTGGGCTACCAAACTATGGCCAAGCAGCTTGGTGAGAAGGTGACAACAGTTGGTGCAATCATTCACAAATGTAAGAAACACAAAACAAGTGTCAGTCTCCCTAGGTCTGGTGCACCATGCAAGATCTCACCTCGTGGGGTGTCAATGATCATGAGAACAGTGAGGAATCATCCCAGAACTACACGTGAGGATCTTGTCAATGATCTCCAGGCAGCTGGACCCACAGTCACCAAGAAAACAATTGGTAACACAGTACGCCGACAAGGACTGAAATCCTGCAGTGCCCGCAAGGTCCCTCTGCTCAAGAAAGCACATGTCCAGGCCCGTCTGAAGTCTGCCACTGAACATCTGAATGATGCAGAGGAGGACTGGTGGAAAGTGTTGTGGTCAGAGGAGACCAAAATCCAGCTCTTTGGCATCAACTCAACTCGCCGTGTTTGGAGGAGGAGGAATGCTGCCTATGACCCCAAGAACACCATCCCAACTGTGAAACATGGTGGTGGAAACATTCTGCTTTGGGGGTGTTTTTTTCTGCTAAGGGGACAGGACAACTGCACCGCATCAAAGGGATGATTGACGGGGCAATGTACCATCAAATCTTGGGTGAGAACCTTCTTCCCTCAGCCAGGGCATTGAAAATGGGTGGTGGATGGGTGTTCCAGCATGACAATGACCCAAAACACACGGCCAAGGCAACAAAGGAGCGGCTCAAGAAGAAGCACATTAAGGTCCTGGAGTGGCCTAGCCAGTCTCCAGACCTTCATCCAATTGAAAATCTGTGAATGGAGCTGAAAGTTCGAGTTGCCAAACGTCAGCCACGAAACCTTAATGACTTGGAGATGATCAAGCCAAAAAGGAGTGGGCCAAAATCCCTCCTGAGATGTGTGCAAACCTGGGGGCCAACTCCAGGAAACGTCTGACCTCTGTGATTGCCAACAAGAGATTTGCCACCAAGTACTAAGTCATGTTTTGTGAAGGGGATCAAATCCTTATTTCCCTCATGAACATGCAGATCAGTCATCATTTGTTAGACGCATTTCTGCTGAATTTGTTGTTGTATTCTGTCTCTTGACAGATTCGATTTTTAGACCGATCATTTCTTTGTGAGGGGCGAACATTCAACATCAGCAGGGGAGCAAATATGCATTTCCTTCACTGTATCTGTGCTTGTTGCTGAAAAGAGAGAAAATCCAGAGCTCATGGGTGAGTGACACAAGTCCCCTCTATATGTAGCTTCTACTATGGCCATTCAATGGCAACCAAGAAAAATCTGGCATGCTTTAGGAGGAGAAGGTGAGACACTAATCCAAGCTTTGAGAACCAAATCAACATCAACATGGTGGCCTCATAGACTGGCTGCATATACAATGCATAGGGTCTGGACGGGCAGCGGGATTAATGAGTTTGAGACATTTTTATTCTCACCAACGAGGGTTACAGAAGCCCACCAAGATCTCCTCCACAAAAAGGAAATGAGTAACTGAAGTACCAGAGCGATAATTCACCGTGGCAGGCCGAAGTAAAGACATTCCCAGCTCCACACACTCTCAGGAGAAGTCTTTAAAACCTTATTGCTTCATTTGATCTGTGTCAGGAATCATTAACATCGTGATAATGATTTTGGACGGAGGACTGAGATGTCAATGTACATTAATCAAGTCAAACATTTTACAGATTGCTTGCAAATCTCTCGTACAGGAAGGTTTATACCTTCAATTGCTTGATAAATGAGAACTCAACATCTGCGTGTATAAAGGCGTGATTTGGTGGGGGAGGGGGATCGGGTATGGGAGGACTCTGGTGTTCCAAATTACCGTTTTCCTCTATAACACCAAGATGTCTGACCATGCAAAGAAAGAGAAAGTAGATGTGAGATGCTGGATCCAGAATTGATCCTAAACAGGGATTGCAGAATAAAGTCGTATGTTGGAGGAAACAATTACTCTGTCAAGGCTTCTGCTGGGCTGTAGATGTGTCTACGAGTATGAAGACCAGAACTGCCCGGGTTCAGGTCATTTCTGTCACTCTCTATGGATGTAACATCTGGAGGACGAAGAAACAAGTCAGCAGAAGCAGGGGCGGACTGACAACTCATGGGGCCCCTGGGCAATAGGGGATCATGGGGCCCCTGTGTCCTTGCTCAAACTCAAAAAAGCCTATGAAAAAGGTACCAGGGGTATCTCATGGGGCCCCCTACTGACCCCGGGCCCTCGGGCAGTGCCAAGTTTCCAAATGGTCAGTCCGCCCCTGAGCAGAAGTATTGACACCTTTGAACTTTGGCGTTGGTGAAGGATTCTACAAATGGTAAGGAAAATTAACAAATGGAGCCTTCAACAAGTCCAACCTTTCACCAGAAGCCCTGATAACTAGGCTGACGCTGTCTTATCCTGGATATACACTATATTTCCAAAAGAATTAGCCCCGCCCTCCAAATCATGTGATTCAGGTGTTCCAATCCCCTCCAAATCATGTGATTCAGGTGTTCCAATCCCCTCCAAATCATGTGATTCAGGTGTTCCAATCCCCTCCAAATCATGTGATTCATGTGTTCCAATCCCCTCCATATCATGTGATTCAGGTGTCCCAGTCCCCATCCATATCATGTGATTCAGGTGTTCCAATCCTCTCCATATCATGTGATTCAGGTGTTCCAATCCCCTCCCAATCATGTGATTCAGGTGTCCCCAGTCCCCATCCATATCATGTGATTCAGGTGTTCCAATCCCCTCCATGGACACAGGTGTATACAATCAAGCCCCTAGGCATGCAGACGGCTTCTACAAACATTGGTGAAAGAATGGGTCGCTCTCAGGAGCTCAGTGACTCCAAGCGTGGTCCCGTGATAGGTGGCCACCTGGGCAATAAGTCCATCCGTGACATTTCCTGGCTACTAAATATTCCACGCTCAACTGTTAGTGGGATTATAACAAAGTGGAAGCCACTGGGAACCACAGCCACTCAGCCACCAAGTGGTAG